CAGCATACAGATTGAATAAGTATGGTGAAAGCATACAACCCTGATGCACACTTTTCTTGACTTTAAACCATAAAGTATCCTCTTGTTCTGTTCCAATGACTGCCTCTTGATCTAAGTACAGGTTCCTCATGAGCACAATTAAGTGTTCTGCAATTCCCATTCTTCACAATGTTGTCCATAATTTGTTACAATCCATACAGTTGAATACCTTTGCATAGTCAATAAAACACAGGTAAACATCTTTCTGGTATTCTCTGTTTTCAGCCAGGATCCATCTGACATCAGCAGTGATATCCCTTCTTCCATACCTCTTCTGACTCTGGCTTGAATTTCTGGCAGCTCCCTGTCAATGTACTGCTGCAGCCACTTTTGAATGATCTTCAGTAAAATTTTACTTGCATGTGATATTAATATACTGTTTGATAATTTCCTCATTCTGTCAGATCATCTTTCTTTGGAATGAGTACAAATATGGATCTCTTCCTGTCGGTTGACCAGGTAGCTGTCTTCCAAATTTTCCAGCATAGTTGAGTGAGCACTTCCCGTGTTGCGTCAGTTTGTTGAAACGTCTCAGTTGGTATTCTGTCAGTTCCTGGAGCCTCGTTTTTCACCAATGCCTTCAGTGCAGTTTGGACTTTTTTCTTCATTGCCACCAGTTCTTGATCATATGCTTCCTCCTCAAATGGTTGAACATTGACCAATTCTTTTTGGTACAGTGACTCTGTGTATTCCTTCCATCTTCTTTTTATGCTTCCTGCATTGTTTAGTATTTTCCCTGTCGAATCTATCAGTATTGTAACTCGAGGCTTGATTTTTTTCTTCAGTTCTTTCAGCTTGAGAAATGCTAAGTGTGTTCTCCCCTTTGGTTTTCTAACTCCAGGTCTTTGCAGATGTCATTATCATAATTTACTTCTGTGTTCTTGAGCTGCCCTTTGAAATCTGTTCAACTCTTTTACTACATCTTTTCTTCTTTTCTCTTCAGCTACTTGATGTTGAAGAGCAAGTTGCAGAGTCTCTTCTGACATCCATTTTGGTCTTTTCTTTCTTTCTTGTCTTTTTTTTTTTCTTTTATTGTACTTCAGGTGAAGGCTTACAGAACAAATAGTTTCTCATGAAACAGTAGTACACATATTGTTTTATGACATTGCTTAACAACCCCACAAC